TGTTGAGGATTTCCTTTTTACTTTCCCAATAGCATCCCACTTTGGTGATCCATCTTCCTTCTTAGGGCTTATAATTGTCCTGTGATATTATGAGGGAGCTTGACAATCTGTGCTGGCTAGACAGAACCAAGCAAAGTCTAATGGTACAGATGGTCATTACTTGGACTGGAAAATCACTGGGCAAAATGCATGCTTTTTGAAGGGACATCCTCCCCTAATGACAACGGGCAGGACAGCTAGGTTCAGGCTATGAATGGTACTTGCTTAAGTGGAGGCTGTGTGCTCTATGGACATGGGCTTTCCTCCAACACCATCAGGTCTGCCCCTCAATCCCCAACCTCCCATCCTAGGGCTCTCTTCTCTGTTTCTTATGACAATTCCCGTCAGGAATAGCTTTTCTTTTGTGGGGACTTCTCTTGTTCATATTTGCTTCCAAATTCTTTGCTTATACCACAACTCCTTTCTGAAAGCAGGGCTGGCTTCATGGGTTTGTAATCTGTGTAATTGCACAGGGCCCTGCACTCAAAAAGACCTTGATCTTAGTTTAATGCTCTGCTGTTGCCATTTTGACATCCTTAAACAGTTTTGAACAGGGCCTCATGTTCTCATTTTGCACTGGGCCTCACAAATTATATAGCCAGATCCTCCTTATCTGAGGATCTTTAGGCTTAATGCTTAAGAGTCAGGAAGAGGCTACTCTTTTTCTTCTTTTTAGTCTCTTTTGCCTCCTCTCCCTTTCTGCTTCCTGTGGTCACATCCCTTCTCTGAGCCATAAGCACAGCACAGCTTAGCTGGCTGAAATGGAGGTGGGTGGTTGAGGGACCCAAGGGGACAAGAAAATACTTGGGGAAAATTTGGTTAGTATTTCAAATATATTTTCTTGTCACATAGTAATAATCAGTTTTCTGCTGTTATTTCACAGTAGTATGAGTTTGCAAGATATGGGTAGAACAAACTTCTGTCCTTTCTACTTGAAATACCACTGCCTCTGTCTGCCACACAACAGCAGAGTTGGGCTGTGAGGTTCATGTCAATGCTTTCAGGCTAGCCTCATCCCACAACCTCTATATTGATTAACCCATCTAGATGTTTAATATTTGGTGTGGTTCAAAAGAGTTTTTGATGAAGTTGCTCAGAAAAACTAGATGTGACATTAATACCTCAAATCTCACAGGCTGGACAGTTAGGCTTCACCAGTGTAATCTTAGTCAAGGCTCTTTGAATTTTAGTCAGTAGAACTTATCTTAAGCTTCAAAAGGGAAATCATCACAAGGCAACATGGTCTATTCTTCATTCTAAGTACCTAAAACAAAGCAATAAACAAGGTCCCAATGTTCATGGAACTAACATTTTAGGATATCGTAGTGTATATCAGTTAAACTGTATTGACTGCTTACTATGGGCTAGGCACTGGGCTAAATCCTTCACACACATTAATTAATTTTATCCTCAAAACAACCCTACACATTATATACTATTCTTAGCATCCACATTTTGCAGAGGAAGAATTGAAAGCACAGAGTGATTAAGTATGTGCTTGAGGTCACACAGTTGATAGGTATTATAGCTAAGATTTGAACCCGTGTGGTCTGGCTCCGAAATCTTTTCATTTAACCACCTCCAGCTGCCTCTAGTGTATCCTGGGTCACAAGTACAGGATATACAAGTGGGAATAACACTTTTCATAATACAAGTGGGATTGGAGCCAGGAACTTGGAAGTTGTCAGGAAGCAAGGCCCTCTTCTTTTAGGCTTATTTCCTCTGGGGCTGCACAGTTTACTCCTGCTGCTTTACCCATTTGTTTCTCTCTTTCTCTGTGGATTAGATTTTTGTTTCTTCTTGAACACAGTTGAAAATGGTCACCTCCCTACGACAACTTCAGCTTGTACCTATACATCAAGACTATTCACGTAATGAATTAAATGCTTGAGTCCCAGTTTTAAAGGATAAAGAGCATTATTGGCCCAAATTATTTCAAGTATCTGTCCCTTGTCCAACCACCCACGGTCAGAGAGATAGGGGCTTTGTATAATATAAACAAAGCTTCAGGAGCCCAATGCTATGGGTAGGAGCATTCCCAGTAAAGGGGAAATGTGGGTGAGGTATGTAAAAAATATCCAGCACATCTAATTTTATCAAGGTATTGTATGGTGGGAGGATCACTGATGACACTAATCTTGAATAGGTACAATTTTGGGGAAATCATGTGTTATGCACTGAACTGTGCTCCCCCATCCCATATGTTGAAGCTCTAACCCTCAATGTTACAATATTTGAAGATAGGGCCTTTAAGGAGGTAATTAAGGTTTAATGAGGTCATAAGGGTGGGGCCCTAATCCAACGTGATGGTGTCTTTATAAGAAGAGAGACTCCAGGCAACTGCCCAAACAGGGAAAAGGCCACATGAGGACACACAGAGAGGAAAACCATCTCAGGCCAAGGAAAGAGGCCTCAGGAGGACCTGAACCTGCTGACGTCTTGATCTTGGATTTGCAGGTTCCAGAATTGTGAGAAATAAATTTCTATTGTTTAAGCCACCCATTCAGTGGTATTTTATTATGACAGTCCTAGCAAACCAAATACACCATGTAACCTCTCTGTGCCTCTATTAACATTGTTTGTGAAAAAAGGCTATGCACTGTGGGTGGTAATCCTTGTGGGTTTTTCCACCTCTAACTTCAGGTGATTCATCTTGACTATGGTTTTGGGGTTGGATAATGTGTGCCCACCATATCAGTTAAAAGCAATTAAGGTCATTTGGTAGTTACAGGCACATTTTGTGTAAAATCTTTTTTTTTAAACTGGCTTTATTATTTTATCTCTTTTGTTAAGAAGGAGAAAGAGTCTATGATCTGACTTCACTGTATTTTTTCTGGATATCATATCTGTGTATTGAGAGCACACCATATGACAGAAAGCTGCTGTAAATTTAATAATGTATTTTAAAATTTCTTCATCATAGTGAACTCAAATCTGATTCTCTATCCATCAGTCCCAGTTGTATACTCTGATTTTGCTTTTTTGTTGTTAATATCACTTTAAAAATGGGGTCCCCAGAATTTAATCCAATTTTCTAAATGTGGTTGAACCAAGGAAGAGAGGTTGTGGAAAAATCAGCTTTTATTAATTCATCCCAAGATTACATTAGCTTTTTTGAGTAGTCATTCTTCCTGCAGTTAATCAGATATCAATTCCTCAGGAAGTTTTTTTAAGTCTATCTATAGAAACCTATGTGGTACTGTCACCTGGGTTTGTAATAATTTGTTTAATAATCTATTTCCCTCACTTGACTCTAACATGAGGGCAGAGACTATGTTGTTTACCTCCTCATTTTTACTGCATCTTCAGTGTCTAATACAATGTCTGGATCATAGAAAGATTCAGCATACATTTGCTGAATTAAATGACTGATACATTTGTTTTGAAAAATCAAAATGTGAATAAATGGAGTAATTGTTATGCTTCCACATGCATATGGAGCAAGTTTAAGGCTGTTCTGAATCACCTTAATTTCAGTATCAGGTGGAGCACATTCTTGAACACAACTTTGAGCAAATAGCTTGAAGATAGATGCAAGTACATAGGTAGATCTTTAGAAGAATTATTTTATATTGAAGCTGAATATAAAATAAACTTTACCTCAGTGTTGTCCAGAGAAAATATTTGAATAATTCCAATATATATTATTTATGATTTTGTGTGCATGCATGCCCCGGTGGGAGTGGGGGAGAGAGAGAGAGACAGAAAGAGAAAGAGAAAAAGAGAGAGAGAGAGAGAGAGAGAGAGAGAGAGAGAGAGAGAAATATGAAGGAAGAGTGTGAAGTGAGGAAAGGCTGAGAAGAGAAATAACAATTTTAATAGGTTAAGATCCTGTAAACACAGGAGGGGCTTAGAATTTAGTGGAAGAGACCAACTGGGAAATGGATAATTATGGTACAGATTATTAGAATAAGGAAACTGCATAGTTTAAAAATGTGATCTGGCTCTTCTTGAGGTAGCCAGGAAAGCTGTCACAGATAAAGTGAAATTTGATTTTAGCCTTGAGGAGGAAAGAATCAATGGTCTTTGTGGCAGAGCGGAAGGGAACAAAGCTCCAGCTGACTAATTTGACTTTTCTGTCTTCGTAGCTTTTCCAAAGTTCAATTTTTTATCGAGGTTTTTATCATCACCTTTTCATGACTGAAACCAGCTTCTCTGAGTGGAATATGTCTCTCTCATGTTCTAGAACGACTGAGGTAGCAGCAGCCATGAAGTGACAGTCTCATATACCTTGGGTTTGCCATTAATGAACTGTGTGGTTTTAGGCGAGTCATTTACTCTTTCCAGGCCTAAAAGGTTTAATTAGATAATCTTCCCTGTTCGCTTCCAGTTCCAAGAATTTGTGAGCCTTTAGAAAAAGACATTGGGATTGACATATATACACTAATATGTATAGAATAGATAACTGATAAGAACCAGCTGTATAAAAATAAATAAATAAAATTAAATTAAAAAAGAAAAAGAAATGAAAAAGACATTGGGTCCTCGTATTAAGGGGATTTTTACATTTCAGTGCTGGAAGTTACACTTCCCTGTTCCCCAAGGAGTAAAAGAAACATAGTTTGTGTTAATATTGCAGCTACTTTGATTTTTTTGTTATTTTTTACAAAGTAAATATTTTAGACACTTCTGATTATGCTAGAGTCAGGGCTAAAGCAGCTCTCGGCTCATTATCTGGTGTTTGTCGCTTATAGGAGTTACTGGCCCTTTAAAAAATAAAGAACAGGGCAAGAGGGCGCGGCCGAGGGACTCAGGTGCCAGCTAATTCGGCTTCTTCCGGAAAAGTCACCCCAAGGCCAGTCGTATGGCATCCTGGGAAATGCAGTTTCTTTTGTGGCCGCACTCCCCTAGTAACTCCTTGCTTTTGAGCATGAGACGGACTACAACCCCCAGAGGACCAAGTGGTAGCAGCGGGGCACTGTACACTTGCCGCGGCTGGGCGGCTAGTTCAAGTTGCCATAGCTGCGAGTCTGGGGAGAGCAGAGTCGGTTGCGTCGCTGCGTCCAGTCAGTTACACCTTCTGGGTCACTGGTGGCCGCGGGAGCCGGGTGGGGCCTCGGCAATGATCCGGCATTAAGGACCTGGGGTCCTCTTCTGTCTCAGGTACGTGCGCCCCACCGTCCCCTCGCTCTTTCTTTACCACTTCCCTATCCTGTCATAGACGTTTTAGGTCCCGCTTCCCCTCGTCCCAGGGGTGGGGACGCCAAAGCCGCCCGGAGATCTGGGGTAAGGCCGGGGATGGGTGGTGTGTGTGCTAAAGTTGGGGGAGACGGCGTGCCTGGCACCCCGACGACCCCCTCCCTCGGCGTGGGTGTCCACAGTCAGGTCCTGGTCAAGTCATGCAGGGAGTTTGAACTTCGTTCTCTTTTTGAGAGCGGCTTGTCCTGCCACTAGGAGCTGTGAAGCTTGAGCTGTCAAGGAGTTTGGCCTCATTCTGGCGTGTACTTGCCTGGCCGGGGATATAGTTGGACGTTTTGTACATGTTTTAGAGTCACAAAAATTTGCTACCCTTGGGAACGCTGTATCAATGACTTGTCTTTCCTATGCCAACATGGGAGTTGCCCCAGTGTCAGCTGTTGAACAGCCCCGTATTTGAGTTATTTCGTAGAAACACCTGACATTGAATTCCAGCTGCATCCTTTGTCGGTTTGATGAAGCTCAGTCACCGCCGCGGACATCTTGTAAAACCGCTTTGTATCCTTGTGCCAAGTGTTACGTAGAGTATCTATCTAACACAGGGCCTGGGCCATTGGGAGTGCTCAATATTAGTAATTTATTTTTATTAACTATACAGAGCTGTGCTAATAGAAACATAGTGTGAGCCACACTGCAAGGTGAAATTTTCTAGTACTCACACACACTAAACAAGTAAAAAGCTGGTGGAATTTCTTTAAGTAATTGGTTTGGCACAGTAGATCCAAAATGTTTTCATTTCCACCTGTAGTCAGTGTGAAACTTGAGATATTTTACATCCTAAAAAACTTTAAAAAAAGGTGCTAAGTATTGCATCTAGTTTACATTTATAGCACATTAGCCGCATATGGCTAGTGACTATTGTATTGGACAGCACAGATAGAAGATTAAAATTTTGGTAGTTTCATGTTGGCACAGAGAAATTTGGGGGTGTCTGTGACTCACAGAATGAAGGTAGTAGCTGCTTTGTTAAAAGAGTTAAGCATGCATCATCCCTGTGTCCTCTCTGCCATTGCATGACCTCTGGGTCAACTTGAACTCTCTTGACTGTATGTTTTGATTAAGAAATACCTTTTTTCTTGGAGTGGTTGATAGATGTATTCTCAGATATGTTTTTTCTGTGGACAACCAGCAGTTCTGTGGATAATTTTCAATGGATTCTTACTACTTTGAAAGGCATCACAAAGAACTGAGAGTATTTCTGTACACAGCTCTTAAAACCAAAGGCATTTTACTTTTACTTATTTAATTGCAATAGTAAGTGTAGGAAGAGCTGGGCAGTTTATAAAATATTTCCTTTAGGAGTGCTAGCATGTAGTTCATTTACTGGCTTGGAAATACAGTCAGGCCATTAAATTCAGAAGTAACATATTAATTTCGTTACCTGCCTTAGTTTACCCACTGAGACATGCTTAGGGATAGTATCTTTGGCTAGACTTGGGCTACAGTTCACACTGCGACATGCTCTAGCCTGCCCAAGGCATGACCAGGTATGGGCGGAAGTCACCAGTGAGGAGTATGCTGGCTGGGCACTTGGGTGTGAAGAATTCCTGTGACTTCAGTGGGTCTTTTGCATGATCCAAGGAACATTTTCTCTGTTCTCTGACTTGTTGTGATATATTCTCTGCTGTGTACACAAACTGTACATAGGATGAGCTTATTTTTATCTTGAATTGTTTAAAAAAAATTAAGGTTGTGGGTGTGTTTTACTCCTTGTTTCATTTATCTGTAGGTGGTTTGGGGAAAGTGTAGGGGCAACCAAGATCATCCATTTGACTAGGCCTTTTGCCCTGAACCTCATGAAGAAATGATAGGAGGCAGACTTACGTGCCTAAGAAGAGCACTGAGCTCAGAGGACAGCAACACAGAGTTTTGGGGGTGTGCTTTGTAAGTATGCTTCCTCTCTGAGTTTATGAGATAACATATTTTTGCATATTTATAGTGGAAAAGAATATGGCAACAAATAGGCTTGTAAGGAGCAAGAAACCCCTTTCTAACATGCAGTATCACAATTAAATAGGATGGTTGTACATGCAGTGTTACAAAAATTCAGAGGAACGAACTAGATACCTTAATAAAAGCAATAATAATGCACCTGCTTCTATTAGACAAGTATTTGAGAACCTATTTTGTCTCAGGCCCTGTATAGGTACCTTTTACATGTTGTATATAATACATTTATTATCCTTCTGTTTATTTTAGAAATGAGGCAATTGAGGCTCAGATAGGTTATTTGGTTTGCTTGGATTCTGCAGCCAAAAGAGTGGTCTTCATCCCCAGGTCTTCTGACTGTAAATCCCAGTCCTGCCCACTACACAGAGGCCACATTGTGGTCTCTGATTGCCCTCTAATAGGGTTTGATTTGCGGTTAGTATTTTTATATTGTGTACCATATAAGCCACGTTTCTTGTTATTCATCTCTTTAAATATTCAAAGGCTTCTATTATCTTTCTTAGTTTTTTTTTCAAGATATCAATATAATGGTCTTTATGTTATTATTGAGGTAAGCGGTAACTGTATCTGTGATTTCTATAAGTGTATGTATGCAACATAAATTGTCATTGATAATCAAGAGGATAGTATTAACTCAGGTTTTGCATCATAGATTTAAAATTCGGGACACTTTAGCATTTTCACGTTTCATTTAGATAAAGGGCACTTAAACATGTAGGGAAGACCGATTGGGGTCTTGTAATAACACTTTGTTTAAGATAAATGTGTAAAAGGTTCTTAGAATGAAAGAATATTAGAGCTGGAGGGGCCTGTTAGGATAATTTAGTCCAGAAATTTTCAACTGCAGTCTTAACACATTTGGGAGTAATATATAAATAACCTAGAGTAGATTCACTGTAATCCATGTAATAATGTCACTGGGTTGATTCTAATATGAAATGTTTCAATATATTCCTACTATTCTGTAGTGTTTTTCTTTCTTGTAATAATGTACATATAAAATTTTACCTTGTCTCTTTTAACTGCTACATAGTATCCCAAATGACTAGATACATTTAATGTATCCCTTATCAGTGGATTTGTGGTTTTTTTTTTTTACTACTATAAATAATTCTGCCATGAAGCTCTTTTACCGACATCTACATCTAAGGGTATACATACATCTTATACATACATCTCCTTTTGTTTTTCTTAGGGATATAGTTATAGAAGTAGAATCTCTGGGTCAAAACATGTGCATATTACTTATTTTTACTTGCCAGATTGTTCTTTAGAAAAGCTATCCTAGTTAATATTCTTACAGCAAGGTGTGCCCTTGGTGGTGAGAACTTTTTTTCACAGGTACAAAACAGATAAAAAGGAATATCATTACTTTAATTTGTAATTCTTTAATTAGTGAAATAGAATATATTACATGTATTCTGTGAATTGCCTGTTTATCCTGTGGACCTTTTACTACTGGAATGTTCTTTTTTCTATTTTTTTAAAGAGATGATAAATTCTTTGGTTTTCATATAATCCAAATATTTTTCTGAGTTTTTACTTTAGTTCTTCAACCTTGTTTCTGGTGTCTTATTAATAATTATGAATGATGCTAAGAGGCTTATCAGGTCTTTATCAGATATTTAGCACCTCCCTGAAATTCATATAACCCTTGATATATATCTGTACAATACTGGTACTTGGATTGTTTGGGAGATGGGAGTATTTGTGGTTACATGAATCCATTTAGCTGATGAACATTTAAAATCTACTTTATGAACAGTGTTTGCCATGAAACAGGTACTCATGAATGAATGAGCTCATAGATGAATGAATAGGTGAATTAAGGCTAAGCCTGAACTAGGCTTTTAGTGAAGACAGACTTCTTGGAAGAAGTGAACTCTGATTATTTAAAAAGAAAGAGGGACTTCCCTGGTGGCACAGTGGTTAAGAATCGGCCTGCCAATGCAGGGGACACAGGTTCGAGTCCTAGTCCGGGAAGATCCTGCATGCCGCGGAGCAACTAAGTCCGTGCGCCACAATTACTGAGCCTGTGTTCTAGAGCCTGCGAGCCAAAACGACTGAGCCCGTGTGCTGCAAATACTGAAGCCCACGTGCCTAGAGCCCGTGCTCCACCACCGCAATGAGAAGGCTGCGCACTGCAAGGAAGAGGTAGCCCCCACTCGCCGCAACTAGAGAAAGCCCGCGTGCAGCAACAAAGACCCAATGCAGCTGAAAATAAATACATAAATTTATTTAAAAAAAGTTAAATTAAAAAAAGAAGAGATAATTTTATAGATTGTAGGAAGAAGGAAAAAGCTCGATGGCGGGAGAGTGAAGGCTTTAAAATGGCAAAAACGGGTTAGCTTATGAGTGGTAATTGGTACATTAAAACAGTACTGAGAATGGACACAGATAGTAAAGAGCCTAGGTAATTTGGAGTGTGTAGAGCTTTATAGTACCAATAAATAATAATTGATGAATGTAGTAGCTGCAAATAGCAATGAGAAAGTGATTTGCAATAATTCAAGCAGACCTAGGTTTGATTCAGTTATAAGTTTTAACACATTCAAATGAATTTGAAATGATTATCCTTGTTTACTCTAAAGACATATCAAGTATTCATATTTATACCGTTTTGCAGTTCAATCCATATTGTCTGAGGACTTAAGATAATTAATCTAGGCTATTTACTGCAAAAATTATTTCATCCAACAATTATTTAATTAGAATCACCAATTGCAAAGTCCTGTACTTTGAAATTTGTCTCTGGATTAATCAGACAGTGTAATAAGGAGAAGTTAATTGTAAATTCATTAAAAAATATTCCAGCTACACACCAGGCGCTATGGTCGGTGTTGAAATACAGCCATGAACAAAGTAAATGGAGTCTATGATGAGATTTAGAGACTAGAAGGGAGACAGACAAGTAAACAGCCAGTTAGCTATGTCTGGGCTGTGAGGAGTTGGTGTCCAAGGTGGGCTCTTGGCCCAGGGTTAAGGTGGGGGCAGTGAAGGAAGGCTTTCTAGAGGAAGTTTCCTCTGAACTGAGACTTGAAGGACAAGTAAGAGTTAGCCAAAGGAAAAGGAGTGAAAAGAATGTTCTAGGTGGTGAATCCAGCATAGGTATAATGGTGAGATGAGCATAACATATTTGAGAAATTGAAAAAGATTCTGTGGCAGGAATAATTACATACTATGGACATGTTTAATTATTGTCTTGCTATAAGTAGAGAACTATAAGTATGCAGACAGAGAAAAGATCACTTCTGGCTGGAGATGGAAGGCTTCGCTGAGATTGTATTATTTGACCTTTACCTGGAAAGATGGGTGGAATTTATATAGGTGGCAATGGTCGACAGCAGACGGCATTTCAGTCAGACCTAATGGCATTAGTGAGGGATGGAAGTGGTAGGAGAATAGCTGGTGTAATAGCTAAATGTAGGCCTTATATTTTCTATGATTCTTTCGTTAAGAGAAGGGTGGCTTGATTAGGGTCTTGAATTCCTGATTCAAGAACCTAGACTCAATCACATGGGCAGTGGAGTGTCAGTGAAGGTTGGAATGGACAGAAAAAGACTCAGAGAAACCATTATAGTGGCTAGTAATGAGTTAAGAAAAGTCCTGAATTATGAATGGCGCTGGTGGTAATGAGAAGGGATACATACATGGTTAGGAATCTGGGCCTTGAAGAAAGGCTCACGACTCGGCTCTGCTGTTGGAAGCTGTGTAACCTTGGGTACCTCACCTAGCTTCTTTAAGCCTCTTCTCTACATATCATGATGACAATGGTACTTTGTAGGCTTATTGTCATAGAGCAAGCTGTAATGTTAGAGCATTAGCTATTCAGCATTATTATTTCAACTTTCGTTTTTTGAAAGTTTTTAAAATTGAGGTTCTTAAGTGGAGTTTACATCCATGTACTTGCAGTAATTCAGTGTTTCAATGTAACTGGTTTTATATGATATTGAGCTGTATTTTATTATAGTTGGATTCCTTTCTAATTCTATATCTTTAAAATTTTTATGTATACATTTAAAAATATTAAAGGAAACAGTTCATGGTACAAAGTATGCCAATCACCTTTTAAAAAAAATTAGAAGTTTTTGTTATATCTTGGAAAGAATATATACATCATTCTTTTTACCCACTTTAAAAATTAAGAATAAAAAATACCAAACTCTTGAGTAATCATATTTGTGAGTACAGTAAAAAAGTGTTCCAGTTCATTATTATAGAAGAGTTAAAGGGAGATCTAAAGATATAAAGTAAAAGAAGAGTGGGGGAAGAAAGAAATATGGGATTTGAGAAAGAGTGGAGGAAAAATATTCATAATACTTTTTTTTTTTAAGTTTAAGGCTTTAGGATATGATTTCTGGAAAAAAAAAAAGGGAATGCTTTTCGGCTTGAAAGAGGTTGTAAATATTCCTAATACGAGACAGGATTATTTAAAACTCATCTTAAAATAGCTGTAGAAAATTGGATGTATAGCAGATTTACATAGTATTAATACTTTATTATCTTATACTGTATTCATTATATAAACCTTTAGTTCTGAGTAAATGGGTACATATGGAATAGTTTGGCCTTAAATGCATTGGTTGTGTGTGTATAGTGGGGGGAATGGATCATAAGAAATATGGTAGGGAAGGACAAAAGAACCCCCAGACATTTCAGTGATTGGACAATGTATTTGGAATTTACACAGTTCTTTTGCATCTAAGAATGCTGTGGAAAGGCACTGGCTTAGAGACACAAGATCTAGGTTCCAGTTCTGTTGTTGTAACTTTATCAAAGCAATCATGGATAAGTATTTTACTTAAAACTTTGTTTTCCTTTAGCAACAAAAGTAAAGGGTTGTAATTATACCAACTTTATAGGATTCAGGTGGAGATCAAAAGAGAAAATGCTAATGAAAATTCTTTGTAAGCTATAAAGTAATATGCAAATTT